TTTCATGAAAAAAATTTACAAGTTTTTGACACTTGTAAAAGTTAAGTTTAATTAGCATTTGAATTATATTTCTAATTGAATAAACATTGTAAATATAATAAAGTAATAAAACAATTTAAAGAGTAATCAAACAAATATTGACTAAATTATCAACATATTAATATCAACAAAAATTACCATGTTTTTAAAACATTTTAAAATGTCTCACCTTTTAAATCATTATCTGCTCTTAAATTATCCTTTTTAAACTTTTCCTGTTGCATTTCAACAAGCTAAAAAAGAAAAATATTAAATAATTACAATCAACAAAAATGTACTACAAAAACTGATATTAAACTTTCTAGTACAAGCTGGAATTTTTGTTAAATTGTATGAACATACTTTTCATATGTTTCCAGCAATTCTTTATACTTCAAACAAATGTTTTTGACTTGATTTACAGACCTGCCACAGGTTATATAATCTTCTTAATCTTAATATCCATAAAGGCAATTATAACACTGCATTAGCCCAATATGCAAGCAAGTCAGGGGTGTCCCAATGTTGGGATGAAGCCAAAATGTTAAGAAAATTCAATATACAAAAATAAGAATAACTGAAGCCATTGACAACTGCAAAGCAACAAGCCAAGAACTTTGCATTAACAACAGAAAAAGCATCAATATATCACAAGCACAGCAAGTGTTACTCTCTAAACATACTTATAACAAATAATAATTTATTCATTAACCACCCACTTTTCCATGTGCTTAATATTCATTACAAGTTATTTTATATTATCAAAAAGTACTTTTAATTTGATTTAAATTGATAAATTGAATTACAATGTAAGAAATTTAAATAATGTCAAGAAATCTTTGAGTTATACTATTTTGGAACACAAAACAACTCCTTCATATTTGAATCATGTATAACCTGTGGCAGACCTATAAATCAAGCTGAAAACATCTGTTTGAAGGATTGCTGGAAGCAAATAAAAGTGAGTTTTTATAGTTTAAAAACTGGTATATATTACTGCAAAAAACTTTTATAAATTTAATTTATAAATTTTATAAGAAAGAACTTTTATATAATAAATTAATTAATTACTACAGTATGTATTTCAAATAATATATTATTATTAAATATAAAGAGTAAAAAAAATGATGTCTCACTGGCTCAAATTTTTGAAATGTGATGTGATTAGAGACTTAAAATATATTAAATTCATTTTTTAAAATCTATAATATTTAATTTTAAATTTAGCTCTGAATAAATTAAGTTAAATATTAAATTTTGAAACATTAGAAAAAACTGCTTTTATAGAAAAAAAAAGTTTTTTTATAAATATTTTAATTTTAAAATTATTTAGAAAACATAAAATATTCAATAAAAATAAAATATTCAGTCTGATTACCAGTTTTCTATTGAAATGGTTGAGTTTAACACAGGACTGTGGAGTCGGAGTTGTGGAGTTTTGGTGTTTTAGCCGGAGTCGGATGGTAAGGAAAAGTCGCAGTCGGTAGATTTTTACGTGACTCCACAGCCCTGGTTTAACATGTATTTATTTTTTCCAAAGGTTAAACATTATTTAAGTTTTAAAATTTTTATTAGTTTGTGATGTAAGTAAATGACAATGACAAAAACTATCTTTAGAATGCAAAAAAGTAATATGAACAAAAATTAATTAAAGAATAATGCTATAAATCTTTGAAAATGAAAATCATAATGCCAAAATTCTATTATTTCAAGTTCAAGTCTTTAGCAAACTAAATGAATGAAAACATAAGAATTACTTTTTTTTCAATATTTTTAAAATCATAAAGTAATATGTAGTTAATTTTAAAAATATTGTGTGATTTAGTAAAAACAACNAACGATAAAATTAACCACTTTTTAATGTTCAAAAACTTTTTAAATTAATCTTTAACATTACTGATACTAAAGTTTTTGTTTTGTACATCTTTTTCATGAAAAAAATTTACAAGTTTTTGACACTTGTAAAAGTTAAGTTTAATTAGCATTTGAATTATATTTCTAATTGAATAAACATTGTAAATATAATAAAGTAATAAAACAATTTAAAGAGTAATCAAACAAATATTGACTAAATTATCAACATATTAATATCAACAAAAATTACCATGTTTTTAAAACATTTTAAAATGTCTCACCTTTTAAATCATTATCTGCTCTTAAATTATCCTTTTTAAACTTTTCCTGTTGCATTTCAACAAGCTAAAAAAGAAAAATATTAAATAATTACAATCAACAAAAATGTACTACAAAAACTGATATTAAACTTTCTAGTACAAGCTGGAATTTTTGTTAAATTGTATGAACATACTTTTCATGTTTCCAGCAATTCTTTATACTTCAAACAAATGTTTTTGACTTGATTTACAGACCTGCCACAGGTTATATAATCTTCTTAATCTTAATATCCATAAAGGCAATTATAACACTGCATTAGCCCAATATGCAAGCAAGTCAGGGGTGTCCCAATGTTGGGATGAAGCCAAAATGTTAAGAAAATTCAATATACAAAAATAAGAATAACTGAAGCCATTGACAACTGCAAAGCAACAAGCCAAGAACTTTGCATTAACAACAGAGAAAGCATCAATATATCACAAGCACAGCAAGTGTTACTCTCTAAACATACTTATAACAAATAATAATTTATTCATTAACCACCCACTTTTCCATGTGCTTAATATTCATTACAAGTTATTTTATATTATCAAAAAGTACTTTTAATTTGATTTAAATTGATAAATTGAATTACAATGTAAGAAATTTAAATAATGTCAAGAAATCTTTGAGTTATACTATTTTGGAACACAAAACAACTCCTTCATATTTGAATCATGTATAACCTGTGGCAGACCTATAAATCAAGCTGAAAACATCTGTTTGAAGGATTGCTGGAAGCAAATAAAAGTGAGTTTTTATAGTTTAAAAACTGGTATATATTACTGCAAAAACTTTTATAAATTTAATTTATAAATTTTATAAGAAAGAACTTTTATATAATAAATTAATTAATTACTACAGTATGTATTTCAAATAATATATTATTATTAAATATAAAGAGTAAAAAAAATGATGTCTCACTGGCTCAAATTTTTGAAATGTGATGTGATTAGAGACTTAAAATATATTAAATTCATTTTTTAAAATCTATAATATTTAATTTTAAATTTAGCTCTGAATAAATTAAGTTAAATATTAAATTTTGAAACATTAGAAAAAACTGCTTTTATAGAAAAAAAAAGTTTTTTTATAAATATTTTAATTTTAAAATTATTTAGAAAACATAAAATATTCAATAAAAATAAAATATTCAGTCTGATTACCAGTTTTCTATTGAAATGGTTGAGTTTAACACAGGACTGTGGAGTCGGAGTTGTGGAGTTTTGGTGTTTTAGCCGGAGTCGGATGGTAAGGAAAAGTCGCAGTCGGTAGATTTTTACGTGACTCCACAGCCCTGGTTTAACATGTATTTATTTTTTCCAAAGGTTAAACATTATTTAAGTTTTAAAATTTTTATTAGTTTGTGATGTAAGTAAATGACAATGACAAAAACTATCTTTAGAATGCAAAAAAGTAATATGAACAAAAATTAATTAAAGAATAATGCTATAAATCTTTGAAAATGAAAATCATAATGCCAAAATTCTATTATTTCAAGTTCAAGTCTTTAGCAAACTAAATGAATGAAAACATAAGAATTACTTTTTTTTCAATATTTTTAAAATCATAAAGTAATATGTAGTTAATTTTAAAAATATTGTGTGATTTAGTAAAAACAACATATAAAATAACCTTTGAGTTACTTAGTACAATTACTAAAATTTTTATAATTGTAAATAATGTTAATTTATCAGTTTTTTTGTGAATTATGAAAGAAAACAGTATTCATATTAAAGAAGCATATAATGTTTTCTACAGAAAAGCATACAAACCACTTAAAATTATAATGTTATGTTAATAATAATATTAACATAAATTTTTGAGAAAACAGTAATGTAAGGATTTCAAAATAACATTTTAAAAATTAAATGCATTATATATTTATATATAATCTTATATACATAAATAAACAACTAGTAAAAATATACTTATTTAACAAAATTTAATGGATTGAAATGATTACAAACCTTATTAATTATTGCAGCTGCTAATAAATCATTATATGTTTTATATACAGAATGACTGGAATTTTCTTGTACAGTTGATTTTGAATCTTTATCTTGACTAGACTCATCAATATCCTATAAAAGAAATGGCAAAAATATTTTATAATTATTGTTACAAATAATCCTAATAAAAATATCAACTCTTCTGTAGCAAATCCATAACCTGTTTCTCCAGTGATATATCATAAAAATTTTGGAATTCCTCAAGTTTTGATTATGTAAAGAAACATTAATATCTCAAAAATACTATATATATATATATATATA